GTATTTAATTTTTATTGCATTACTTAATAAATTATTGAATTTAACATCGTGCACATAGTATCCTCCATCCAAATTGGTAGTTTCATTATTATAATTCTTATATTCTTGTGTTCCAAATACGTCTTGCCATGATTTGCAAACAGGAAGTAGACATACAGCTCTTATCCAGCTTCCTAATATTGAAAGCATCTGATAAAAGTTTAATTATTTAAAGCATTACTGATATTTTGTGAACACATTATTCTTTCAAGTGTATATCACAAAAATATCCATAATGCTATATAATTACATTATTCTTGCACTTTTGAATGAAATTCAAAAAGTGTAAGAATGATGTTAAATTTTATGTCAGAAATTGTCAATTTCTGCAATTGACAATTATTATTTAAATTGTTTTCTTGGTAGAAATGAAGTAAGCAAAGCCCTAGAAAATACTCTTTCATCACAAAATAACATTTTCTTTGATGTTAATATGAAATTACTCTCTAAAATTAATAAATCTTTAATTGATAAGATCATATTGAAATTGGTGAAAGATCCTTATAGAGCTAGTGGGAAAAAAGTTGAACTTAGCTAAATCAGATATTTTAATGACTTCGTGATTATAGCCATTATGCATTTGTTTGATCTATAGTATGTTTCGGTAACTTCCACAAAAGACGGCTTAATGTTTATAACTAAATCAACTTTAATGTTCTTTAAAAACATTAAACTCATCAAACACATTAAGAAAGAATGAGGGTTTAAAGGTAAGTATAATATAATGTAAACAAATAAAAATTTGACACTCCGAACTATGGCATTCCAAACGGGAACCGCGGTTGGTTACCATGGATTTCCGTCACCGGTCACATTTTAAAGATTTTTAAAGCCTTATAAAAATATGCTTTGTAAATCATTTTTTGTAAATCGGCAAAAATTTGGTAATTTTCTTCAACTAATAAATCTGCGAATAGCATTTATAATACAAGAACAATCTTTTAAAATGCATTTGATTCATTTTTGTATAATTTCATATAGGCACATATATTCTTCCGGGACTTTCCGTGATTTTACCGTAAAATCATTAGTTTACACCAATTTTCCCGTATTTTGAATAGTTTACTGCACTTTTTCCGTAAAATTGAGTTACGGGAATCCGCAAAATTTCCGGACCTCATTTTTCATAGAATATAATAATAATATTTGATAAAAAGATATATTATTTATATTTTTGATTTTTGAATTACGGAAAAAGTGAATTGATAACTTGATTTTTTTATATGGTTAATTTTTCAAATGATATTATGAAGATCTAAAATATTAAAAGTAAAATATTGAATTACGGAAAAAGTGAGGTCAAAAGTGAAATAAATTTGCAGAACAATTTTCATTGAAATAAGCTTTATTTTTCATTATTAATAACAATGCAAAAAAATATTTATCACGGGTTCAAAATTTAAAATTAAATATTTTAATAATTTACATCTTATTCTTTATTTTATATTTAACCCGCGAAAATATCATTTAAAAATTGAATATATTCAAAAAGCTTTATTTTTATTATGACTGCATGGGATCCTCATGTATATGATGAGTGGATTCCATTTAAGAAGACGAAATATCCACCAACTCCTGAAACATTGGAAACAAAGTGTGGAAAAAAATGTTTCACTACGATCGGCTATTATGAGAATGAGCCTAATCAATCAGACAAAGGAAGGCTCTTTACATACTGTGCCGAATGTAGTGAAACATTAGTTCAAGGGCAGTTCGTGCGATGCATTAAAAAAAGCAGGAAAAATGATTTTAAAGATCATAAGTGCAAATTTTTACTCCCAATGCCCAACTACGTTCCTGCTGAGCACCAAGTTGAGAATACTCAGCAAGCAGTTGGCTCTGGTAATGATCCTTCGTTAGAAGAGATCATTGCCAGGCTTATTGCGAGCCTAGATATAAGCCTTTATGCCACAATGAAGCCAGCATTTAAAAGCTTCCTAGAGAGCTTCGCCAAATGGCTTAAAAATAAAGTCAATCGCGAACAGGGCATCAACTTTACAATCCCAGACATTGAGTTCACACGGCGCGGTGTCAGAGAGGCATTGATTACTTTAGGCAAAACAGACTCCTCTCGGGGCCTAAAGTTCTGCGAGGAATTCCGCATCTTCTCAATTTCCCTGGACTGCGGAACACACGGCAGCCGTCATGGTCTATTCTCTTGTGTGTGCAATCCAGGCAAAACAGATCGCCACCAATTCTTCGACACAACAATTTCGACTAATTGGACATACGAGGACTACCATACGTGGTTTGATTCTCTTAAGGTTAATAAAAACCACGTAGCTGGAGTAGTCGGAGATGGTTTGCCAGCCCAGGTTAAAGGACTCTGCCACTGGAGGCCAGAAGGAGCCCTTTTCCCTGGCTTACAAACCGTGTACATTCGTTGCCTTAACCACGTCTTGAACAATGCTATTGTCCACGCACGTAAGCAATGTCCATTGTTGAATGAACTGATGAATAGAGTTCACCAGATTATCATTATCTTTAAGAATCACGATATGAGAGCGAGATACAAGATCAGGGTTCCATCAATCCCGGAAACTCGCTGGCTCTACATATATGATACTCTGTTTTTCATCTTTGATAATCTGGAAACAATTAATACTGCTTTAAGAAGTGGAGATCTTCCACTATCCCTTTCCAGAGCTACACGTGAACAGTTACAATGGACACGTGATGGAATTCCTCCACTCTTTAAAGATGCTTTAATGATATTCAAGCCATTAAAGCAACTTCAATTATGGCTGAAATCCAACAAGGCCATGGGTGCTTATGCATTCCTGATGATACAACAGTGCCAAGGGATGTTGGATGAAATGGCAGGAAGATTAACGCCAGATGGTGAAGAGATTCTCCGATCAATCACTACAATATTCAAAAATGATATGAAAGAATATGGTAGAATTGATTTGCTTCGGTTTGCTTTCGGCTTTACACCGTTAGCAAGGAAGATCATCAGAGACAAGAAGGGTTTTGGAGGAAAGACAAGCTATCCACCTATAATGCAGTTGAAAGATGTGCAAGTCCCAACGATTCCTTCCCTGAGGATCATCAATCGCGAGATCACATTTGAGAAACTCGGCGAAATCCTTGAAGAAGAACGAACAGAACGTGTTGACGAGGTAGCCGAGCATGATGAAGAGATACAGCAAGCAGAAGAGGAACAAATGCTTAACGACGATCATGCAGCCGAAACAAATGCCGATGGTTCGAGGAATTCCTTGGTCTGGGATGTTGTAGATGAAGAGATAAAAGATCTATACACATTCATGATAACAATCCTCAGACAAAGAGCAATTGCCGAATCAACAGTTGATCCAACGATCAATAAAGACGATAGAGCCAAGGAATTGAGTGATGCTTACGATTTCTTCATAGAGCAAGATGATTCCCATCTTATAAATGGTCATCATCTTGCTCAAAATGATGGCAAGTTTTGGTACATGAATGGCATAAAGCAACTAAAAGCAATAAGACCAATTGGAAAAAGGATGATGTCACTTTCGTGCAGTGAAGCAGATGTAGAACGTGTAATATCTGAATTGCGAAAGACAAAAAATTCAATGAACGAATCATGCAAAGAAGAATATGTAGCATGCCGCTTCTTCATCAAGTTGAATGATGATCAATTTGATATTTGATTTTGTTTTTTAATAAAATTTATTAAATAATTTGTTTTAAAAAGTATTATTTTTATTCGTAAAGATATTAGACAGAAGGTGGCCAGCCTAATGTCTATCAATCTTTAATATTAGTAGTAATTTCCCGCATTTCTGAATGATAATTGATTAGCTTTGTTGTTATTGATGTAAAACTGGATAAGTATTAAATAATTATATTAATCTTGGCCAGGGGACTGCTGATGGCCAGTCAGCAGCGGCCACTATGAATCATTATAATTATTTAATACCTAAATTGAGGTAAAAAGCAATAAGACTTGCCGAGCCTCATGCCCCTACCTCATATAAATAGAATCACACTTTAGTGAATCAACATCTATAAGAATGAAGTGTTTTGAAGCTGAAATAATATTGAATAGAAATTAATTTTTTCTGAAATTTTGAATGAAATTATGTGAAATAAAAAAATTACTAAATATTGTATTCATACAAATATATTATTTTAAAGGAAAAATAGATGCTGATAGAAACGATGAAAATTTTTGAAAACTTTACAATTAATTTATATTCGTTAACCATAGAGCTTGCAATCCAAAGCTCACGTTAGACAACAAGAGTCATGAAGTCTCATACTAAGGGATATCCAACATATATTTTAATAATCTAATGTTTGTGACAAATATTCAACATAAAATTAAGTTTTCGTTTCGTTACAAGGCATTCATACTTTGGAGATATCATATTTAATGTACAGAAAAGCTAATATTAAACAATACATGCTAAAGAATTAATAAATAAGATAATAAAATAAATTTATACGTAATTACTTTCATTTAATATGCTTTATGCTGTATAATATTGATTAAGAGGCATTAAAAGGTTCCATAGTCTGCTCTTATAGGCAAGATTTTTGATAAAAATTTTAAATTTTGAAAAATGATGAGAAAAGGAAAAAAAAGGTAAATGAGAGCAAGAGGAGGGAAAAAAAGAAAAAGAAAAGAAAGGGAAGGGAAAAATAAAAGAAAGAAGGACATATAAAAATTTAGATGCGCATTCTTAATGCCGAGGCGGCTTGCCGCCGAGGCGCGATTTTTTTAGGCCTCTACGGTAACCCGGCAATGTTTCTTTAAATCTTGTACAGCCCTACTCCGAACAAAATTTTCGAACCCATTCTACTCAAAATTGAGTTGGAATTGAATTTAAAATCTTATCAAAATTTTGAAAATTGTATTAATGAAATTCCCTTATATAAATATAACTAACAAATATTTTTTGTAGAACAATTGGAAAAAAATTTACTAATGCGAAAATTACGATATTTTGGAGAAATAATTGACTACTTTAAAAAACTTCGTATGTTGTAAAGTACTCTGATGGATCATCTGATAAAGAATCCTGATTTCTAAGTGAATTATCAAATTTTTCATCCTGATATACTTCATTTGGAACATCTGATTGGTCAAAATGATTAAACTCTGATTTATTAAATTGTTCTCTACTCTTTGCACGCTTGGTCGAGTTTTTACGTCTCATTAGTAATTTAAATCTGGCCTTAACTGATGCATCGCTTCGTCCTTTCAAGTGAGAAGCAATCTTTACCCATTGTGATCCATAAACTTCATATTGTTCAAGTATTGTTTGGTCTTCTTCATACGAATATGGACCTTTATTTACAGTTGGAGAAAGATATTTTTCCCATCTTTCTTTGCACTGTCTAGCGTTTCTTCCAGGCATTTTATCAGCTATTTCATTCCAATCAGTACATCCAAAGTTGTTTATAAGGTCTGAAAGCTTCCTATCCTCTATATATGTAAAGTGGTTTTTGCACCGGAGATTGTTAGATTTGATCATTTTCGAAGTGAGATCAAAAAGTGACGTAAATTGGTCAAATACGAATTATTTCTCAATTTCTCTGGTGTAATTTATGGACTTTGATGTGGTACATATTTTTCATGTATTAAAACATTCCCAAAAAAATTACGATGGATTTGGAAATCAATTTTGAATGAAATATAAGAGAATTTATAGTAAGTTGATCAGTATTAAGTTTACTGGACTATAATACACATTATGGCATAGTTTTTCCTAAAATGTGAAATTGCTGATGATGAAATCATGCGTTCAATAATAACTCAAGCAGGTTAGGTCAACACTTATGTCCAAAATAGTCATTGCAAGATCATTATCGCACTATGTTCAAAACAATAAAATTTCATTGCAACAAATATCAACAAGAATTGTAAACCCAAGGGAATACTAGTATAACTTAATGTGAATTATTCCCTAGATATTCTTCCTTTTGATTTCCCATTCCAAAAAAAAATTAAATATTTTAATCCTTTCAATACATTGTTATCACAAGTTAAAAAAATAAATACTACAATTTAAAACAATACTATTGTTTTCAATATCCAAAAATTATGTTATTTAAGCTAAAATTTTCGTTTTAATATCTAAAAATACCGATTATTTCCAAATTTTTTTCATTTTCCAAAAAATGAAAACTAATTTCTAAGATGCTGGATACCAATTTTAGGTTTCTAAAAAATTTTTGGAATCTCAAATGCGTGCCATTATCGTTATATCAACACTCTAATTGCTTCTATCCATCAAATGAACTCTTCTTTCAAAATCCGCTAAAATAACGATAGACTTTTTTTTATAAAAAAAATGAATCGAAAATCTTTTACAAACCTAAAATCTGAGTTACAAAGGTTAACAGGTTTTCGACATCCAGATACAATACGTTCGTGTTGCACTGATGCAATTAATTATCTGGAAAAATTACAAAAATTGCCAATAATTGAGCAAAAATCTCCATTTGTTTCTGCTATTGTATACATCATGTCAACAGAAAACTACACGAAAATCGCAACAGCTCTATTTCCAATACTTTTAGAAGCAATTTCAGATGATTGCTTCGATGAAGGAGCATTGGAAGAAATTTTAGGCTCACTGATAACCAGATCAGCATTTCTAGACGTTGACATGTGCTTACGTTTACTTTTATTCTCAACTTCTGAAATTAAACGCAAATTCCCTTGTTTGGAAATATTTTCTCCATATATTTCAATACACTTACTTCTTATGCAAAAGACCCAAGAAACTGTTGCACATAATGCACACGCTTCGTTCCAACAACTTCTAACTTATTTGGTTGATCCAATTAAAGCCCTAAATCCTAATCAAGCAACACAATCTTTCATAGAACGATACAATAAAAAGTACAAGCGTTCAGCCAAGACCGATACCGAGGTTTACAGTGGACTTTTTGTGATGTTAATAAATGACGTTACAGGAATGACACTAGGAATGCAACCAACCTTCATTGATACTAAAATATTGCCATCCGAGCTATTATACGAAATGTTAGAAGTCATTACAATTTCAACAAAAGATTTAATTACAAATGACCAAAATCTGAGTTGTTTATTCGATGGTACGATCATACATTTAATTTCCAACCGCGACGCAATTAAGTTCATCATGATTTTCTTCGAAATTATGCTTCCTCATACTTTACAATTATTTACTTCAGTATTAAATGAATTTATCTCAGAAATTCGACCGAGATCGAAGTCAATACTTCTACCGATATTCTTCCTACACTCAACTCTTCTCAGAAAGAACATTTCTTTAACAAAAATGCTTCGAATGTCGGATTCAGGAGAGTCAACTATGATTTCTCTTATCGATTCCCTCAACAACATCATTCTAACATCACAACCTACAGAACTAATTGATATTATACCGAAACAACTACAAATGAACCAAATGTCTATTGATTTATCACTCGTTTACTGCGTTGAAATGCTTTTCTTGCTTATTTCGGATATAATGGTCGAAGATAACGCAAAAATTTTGACTTTTAAACTTTGTAAAGTTCTGAATAACGCAATCATTGTTTCTTTGAGGTACATGACCCCTAAAATCGTACCAATAGTCCATGAAACACTTGGCCAATACCTGCAAGCCATCAAAACTAACTGCGAACCAAAAATTACTCATGAAGCTTTCAAAATCTTATGCGACAGACTTTCTTTGAGCGACGACCATCGTCTTCCACTATCAGATATCAAACTTTACTGCTTGGAAGAGAAAGAAAAGATGTGGACTCCGTTTTTGACGAATATGATCCTGAATAACCACGAATTAGTCGAAGGAAACTGGGTTTACGTACTCAATGGAATATTTGCTTCAGATGATGTCCAGATTACACCTCAATTCGCCCATGAATACTCGACAAATATAAAATTAGATATTATTGACGCACTTTTATCATGCAAACACTTTCCATTCGATTTCACAACGAACATGATCGTAAACGAAATCGATATCTTCACAAGTATTTGGCCCAGACTCGAAGTTTATTTTATTTCGGAAATTGCCAGCGAAACATTTGGAGAAAATGCCAGACAGTTCTTTATTAATATATTAGTCAAATGCTTCAACAAAGATACCGAAGATTGCTTGACAAAAGGAATTGAAAAAATTGTCAATCGAAATAACAACGTTGATGTTGAGAGTTTGAACAAAATATTCACGGAACTTAAGAACATCATACAGATGAAGATAGATTTGATCTCAAAGGGCTGGAATTCCATTTTTGAGGCAATTCATCCAAATAATGCAGGTAATGATCCAGATGTACTCTCTATACAATACTCAATCATCAATATGATCTGCAATGACTATATTTCCCAAATTCCAGAAGAAAACGCCGAAATATTTTTGAGAACAATTTTCAGATTCGCTCGTCAGGAGATAGATATCAACGTTTCCTTATCGTCAATGGATCTGATATGGACTGTAAAGCGTACTTTAACGAATACTCAAAGATGGTCGTTGATATTCAAGAGTATTGTCAACGTTTTTGACGATCCAAGAATAGTTTTGGCGACAAGCTCCGTAACAACACTTTTTAACTTACTTTCTTCGAACATTAATGATGTTTCTGACGAAAATTTCAAAGAATTATTCCAAGTTTTCTTAATGTCTGTATTTGAAAGGATGCGAGATAACTTTACAAGTGTCAGACAGCAGATATTGAATGAAGTTTCGCATTTCTTCTGCGGTTTCTGGGCAAGATGCGAAAAACTTGAGAATTATTACGAAAAAATACTTCCAACCGTAATCAAAAGTGAAACAATGTTTGCAACAGAATGTAAGAATGTCGAACTTGTCTCAGGAAGCTTCGATTTCTATCAAACATTTTTCTCTTGTCCAGATCTCACTGAACAAGCATATTTAATGCTCATAGATTCACTCACAACACTTATCAAATCATACAAATCGATAAGTGATGCAAAGAATCTTGTTTTATCCGTTTTTGGAAGAACAATCGGACGTTGCCTTGAAAGATCAGGACCAAGCCTTAATGAAAACAAATACAGCTCAAAGTCCTGGGCCAAACTACTTGAGCTTTGTGCAGCAGTTTTCATGTCCGATAAAATGGTCCATATAGTTTTGAGCCATTTCATCCAGGCGATAGAGAAAATCTTCCCTCTGATCACAGGCCAGTTCGAACCACTCATTATTTCCCTTTCAGAAGTATTTTTGGGAACATCAAATAAACCTCTTAGAGATTTATGCGTTTCCACCCTTATCAAAACGTTTGGAAAGTCAGACCATGCACAACAGCTTACCTTCTTTACACTTTGCGGCAAAGTTGCTGTTTATGATGATGCAAAAGAGCTCCGAGACGTTCTTTCAACACTTCTTTCCAATTCCGCTGACTCCAACGAACAGTACAGATTCAACGTTGTCCTTGAATCCGACGATAAGAAGCTTTTAGAAAAAATCACTGAAGTTGACGCGGAAGGACAAAAGGAATTCGTAAGAGTCAAGTGCGCGAAAGAAATGTCTACACTCGTAGAATTCTACGGAAGGTTCATTAATAAGGAAAACAAGGATAAATTCCCGAATATTCTTGAAAATTGTTTAGATACATTCGTTGAGATGATAAAAGAGATAGATTTGAGCTGCAGAAATGATGCACAGGCTAAGCAGTTCATGGATTTCATTGATAATCTTGATGAAAATGATGAAAACGATAAAAAGATTTTATTGGCCACATTTTATCCATGTATATCGTTAGTTACATCAAGCGACTCATCGTTGAGATCAAGAGTGCAGGAAACTCTTCGTAGAGTTGGAAAAACTGCAAATATTTAATATTTTATATTTTATATTTTTTTTGTTTTAATTTAAAAAAGATTGCTTATGATAAAGTTTTTATACAAATTGATGCTGTTGTGTTTCCTACTCATTTTTTTATTTTGACGGAAAAAGAAAATAGACTCAATTCAGAAGGATATCAGGAATACAGCAGAATTGCAAAAGAATTACGTAATTCAGTAAATTGGAACATTGATTTGAAATGGAATATCAATAAAAAGGATTTTATGTTCAAAACTTACAAATTATTCTTAAATATCAGGAAAAATCACTTATTAAAAACATTCTACTATTTTCCAAATGAAACATCACGCATTATTCCACTAGAAACTCTTCTGAAACAAACTTGCTCAACTGTTGAAAAGGTTCCTACACTTCACAGTGCTCTAAAGTCTCTCGCACAGTTTGCACAACAAAAGACTGAAATAGTATATAAAGGTTTTCCAGAACTTCCTACAAATTTCAGAGATTATTTTTCAAATAACACTATTAACTTAAATTATTTCTGTTACCTTACGTTTCCAACAACATTTGGCTTTTTTACATTCCCTGAAGCTTGTGATGCTTCATTTGAGTTTCTGAAATATTTTCTTGATACAAATGTATACGATGACTGCCTTTTCAAGCTTTGTTCCGGATACTTTATAGGTTTACCTTTCTTTCCAGACGATCTTTGCGCAAAATTTTTCAAATTATCTCACGAAGAATTATTAATTCAAAATTCTTATGCATTAACTGATATTCAAGTCTTCAAAATATTCGACAAAGCAATTACTTATGCATCCAAACTACTTCCAGTAACTCATAAACGACTAATTACGTTGTTATATAATTCTGACCAATCTTTTACGATAAATATGCTTATAAACGGAGTTCTTTACCCAGCATTTAATGCAGAGTATAATAATAACATGCTTTCCAAGTATACGGAGACATTTCTTCCCTTAAAAAACATTTTTGAACAAATGAAAACGAAACCAATGGGTCCAACATCGAAATTATTCATCAAAAGACTTACAACAGGTGATTCCAAGTCACTTCTCTTTGAATCTTATGAAGGAATGACTGGTTTGGAGTTCAGATATTATCCGGCTTATTTATCCATTTACGAAGTCCAATATTTCATGAAATTATTACCAAATGACAATCAGTCAGTGACTATCGCCAACATAATCAAAGGATCTATCTTTGATCAGTCAGTTCACGATACAAGGTGTTTACAACTTTACATTTTCCCGGTAGATAAAAGATGTCACCCAGAATCATTATTTTACAATTACGATCCAGTTAAAATCAAGTTTGTCAATGAAGATTTCTTCAGATCTTATAATATTTTGAATTATTTGACGAAAGAGAATATTATTGATGGATTTGATCTGATACAAGATCCTACGAAGATTAATGACATCGTTGATAATCTTCATCGCTCAACTCTCCAAAAATTTAATATTATTAATGATATCAATTTCAATACGTACGCGAACGTTGTTTACATGAACAACTATTTATCTAGCTTAAGTAGATTGGATCAGACAATCATTTATTTGCACGGATTGAATGAAGTTGAAAATCTTCAGTTTTCTTGCCAAAATTATACAAGCAAACTGTTCAAAATGATATTACAGAACCATGATGTGACACATCCTTCTCTAAAGTTCTTATTTACGTTGACTCATATTCCAGCCGAAATTAAAGAGATAAATGAAGCAAGAATCGCGTTATCTTACCATCTCTCAGATAAGCTATGCTCATATTCAACTGTTGATAAGTCAATTAAGCTTCCAATCGTTTTATCTCATTTTGCACAGATTTCTTTAAGGTGTACTCATGCTGAAAACATGGTAATATTCACAGATTTGCTACATCAGATGAATTCTATGCTTAAATATGACGAGAAAAAGCTTCTTTCTGCAATTTTGACTTATTTCCCTCATGATTCTATTCCTCTTTTGATGACATGCGCTTTATATTACGCCAAACATGTCAAACCTCTCAAAATGTCGGATGATAAGTACTACGTTGAAGCTACAAAAGATTGGGAAGTAATTGACAACATTATATACCATTATCGCAATTCTAACTTCGAATTCGACCAGAAGTACAACTATTATATGTCTGTTTTCAATTGAAAACATTATATTTTTTGTTTTTTTAATACTAAATTATTTTTTATTTCATTTTATGATTGCCTTTTAATAGCAACATCAATCTACATATTCAGAATTTTGATTTCTTGATTCATATTTGCTTATATTTTTTGATAATGTTCTTGTATATATTTTAAATGTAGTCAATTTGTTAGTATAAAAAAAGTATATATGTTTTTCAAATACAATTTATGGATATGCCAAATATTGAAGCATACGAACTTTCTTTCCAACGGTATCAATGACCAATATGCATGCAGAATGGTCTGGATTACCAAGGATAGACTTTCCGTTTGTCTTCTTTAGCAAATAAGGACGGGCAACAATCGAAATTGCGCCACTAGTATTTTTGACAACACTTTGGCCAATTAAGTCTCTGTAAAGTGATGTGATGACTGGTTCGTAAGTATCCCACTCATCTTCGTATTGGCAAATCTCGCCACCGAGAACAAGGAGTTTAATAACATGGAATAGTAATTCTCTGCGATCTTCTGGTGTAAAGACTTCGTATTCCTCGGAATCTTCGTCAAGAAGTGCAACTTGGAGGCAATCTGATAACCACATTCCATGAACGTGATGATCGGGACATTTATTGATGTAGTGGCCTGTTGCATTTCTGCAAATGTTGTTTGGTGGTGTCCAGAGCTTCTTCCAGAATTTATTGCCAATTGATATTGCTGAAAGAGGTTCAACATCAACTTCTTTAACTTCTTCTGAGCCTATTCCCTTTGTATTCAAAAATGATTTGAAAAATGTTTCAGGATTAAATGGAACTGGTAATTCACCATTATAAGAGAAAGTACGAGCTTTAATTCCATTGAGTCCCCATTTTTCATTGATAAGCTTCATTTTCTCCTTATCTGCCCATGTTTTAAAGCCGTTATCATCAAGCTCTGTGAATTCCCAGCGCTCAGACATTTTAATTTCAAACGTGCAAATTTTGTCACTTTTATGTAACTAAATATCTCCGAAAGCAACTCAAATTATGAAATCTGAAATTGAAATTTGTGCAGGATTGTAATTTTATTCCAGGACTACATCAAAGTCAATCAAATTTCACATTTGTTGCGATCGTTTCATTCCATTTGGATTCCGTCGTGCTCGGTAAAGCAAAAACATACTTATAATTAGCTATGTATTATTAATATATAATTTCGCCGAAATTTATTAGATATTCTCTGATGTTGTAACAGGCGTTCAGTTTCTCACCAACCAATCTTTAAATAATGGATCAGTTTTTATTTAAATGCTTTCAATGAAATGGAGCGCTCTAACCAGGATTGAAGAAATAAATTGAATTTCTGTCTGAAGTTGTAACGGCTAATATTGATTAAACACTCTTTAATTACCTCTATACAGTAAATGTACATTCTTATTTAGGTCCCTTATTATTCACTTATTTGTTGAGAGATAAAATTGTTTCACCGATGTTTCACAGGATTGAGATAAATTTGATCAGCTCCCAATTTTTTTATCTAAACATTATAACTGATACTCATTGCCCATTGTAATGGGTTTGAACAAATTGAATATTGAAAGGCGTTTTTTTTCAAAAAGTTCTTTTTATCGTGGAGAATTTTTGAATGGAATTCAGCGATAAGAGAATTCAAACATGATTTATTAATTACAGTGAGTACGCAAATATTCAAATGAAAATTTTCATTTTTTATAAGAACCTTTTCCCAGAGGTAGGGCAACGATAGAAAATTTTTGGAAAAAAAGCTCGGAGATCTTAAACGTATCATATTCCCTGCATGGTTTGGTATCTTCCGCCATGCGTTGTGCCAAACATATTGACACTTTCCAATAATTAATTTATGGTATGAGTCACAGAGTTAGATTATAAAAAGAAAGTAAATAATTGCAATTAGAAATCATATATGTCGGAAATCAAATGTTGATGAGCAGAAACCTTTTACTCATCATAAAAGAGATAAATCACTAAAGATTTGTATACATTAAAATTTGATATTTGGTGCTCGAAAACTGTCTGATGGGACTCCTCCAAAATAAACCAATCTATCGCTGAGGACCAAATTAGATGATGTGGATGGTGTATTCTCTAATTCTAACTTAGGAAGAATGGGAACAAAACGAATGACGACAACAACATGTCAAATATAGATTAAATATCTATGAATCAATAAAGTATACGTGCATTGAAGGTGATAACGATCACTTGAGGCTTATAACTCTTTGACTAAATTATGCAATAATTAAATATAATCATTTTTATATTTTTATACTGATAGTAATTAATATACTATCCTGCTTAATAAATGGTATGATCAAATTTGTTTGAAAATTTAATTATGTATATGAAACTATGTCTTCTATATAAAAATCAAAATTTTCGGACGAACCTATATTGAACCTTTATGAAAATCTATCATTTTTGTTAATTGGGTTAATATGAATCTTTTACATATGTATATATAGCATTGATAGCTTATATAATCATGGTTTATTCCATATTAACATATTTTTTCAGTTAAATTTGTTAATAATATCATGTAACAAATTAATTCAAGATTAGAATGTCTACAAAATGCTAACAAATAAGAACAAAATACGATTTCTCGACTTAAATTTTAATATGGAGTAGTTTTTCGTTTAAATCTAATTAAAAATGAATAAAAACTTATCTTGTACTATTTTCATTCAAAGATTTTAATAATGTAAATCATGCATTTTCATAATTCAGTACAGTTCTTTTTAGAATTAAAGTTGATGAGGATGATATTTGTGATTTAAAATAATTTGTTAATGTTCACCTTTTATTCATCACCTTGTGGTATGCCCTAAAGCAATAGCATTATCAATTCTGCTGAATTGATCAACTCAAAATTCCAAAAAAAATTCAAAATTTCAAAAATGAAATTAAACAATTTGAATTTTCACATGAAAAAATCAATTTCGAAAAAAATTTGGAAAATCAAAGTATTTGATAATTAGTCAAATAATCAATTTACATCGTTTTTACTCATAAAAAACAACTAATTTTTGATTTTGATATCATATTTGATAAATACTCATTCCAGAGTTGACGTAATGTATTAATTATTGTTAGAGATATTGCTTTCGCAGCAAAATTCTTATTTCATGAAAGAAAAAAAAAATGATTTTATTCCAACAAAAACAAGTAAACAGATGAATGGAAACGTACTATATTTTCATAAATGTAGTAATCAGCGTGTCAGCTTTTGTTTATCATGTTCGAGTCAAAATGTATTAACTTGTAATAAGAAATATTCGAAGATTATATGAAGTATTGAGCATTCTTTGTAGAAATATTTGTAATTCATTACTAACATATATAATAAAGTTGTTTTTTTTTCCTTATTGCAATAATTTTGTCTGATTTTAATAACTTTTCATGTATACGAGTTGTGTGAATATGCATCATAATATGCGTAAATATACTTATTTGCGACGAATAATGTGGTTGCATAATGGAGGTGCTAAATTTTGATTTTTAATATGGGGCTTTGGTATGTATAATCATGTTCTTATCTCAACGTAGGAGTATTGGTGCAATATGATTAAAATTTACGAGGTTGATCTTAAATTGAATAATTCTGGAGTATAAATCACAATGCAGCTAATTCTATGTTAAAGATAGATACAGATTGTAGTAATCAATTAGGGAGTACAAATTCATTCTTTCATTTCTGTCGTATTGAGCAGAAAGGAAGAGATCATAACCCTAGGAAAAAAAGCCCAAATTTGTCACTTTTCATAGTACGTTAAACTCAATTCGCTCGGCGAATGCCGAGCACACGTACTCATCATTCAACATAATATTCTCATTCTTTGGTTATTATAGTGCCAGACAACACAAGATTTCAAAGAATTACTTGAGTTTTCAATTAATCTTAATCCGATTTTAGATTTATCGAGAACTCCATCATCACAATCACATACTTCAGTGCGGTAACTACAATTATCCATATACAGAAGGAAGTTCTTTTCGAACAACTCATTTGGAGTCTGTTTTGGAAAGAACTTCTTTCTGTCCGACTTAATTTCATAGTTCCTGATCAACCAAAAGACAGAAACCACACACTATCTACTTAGGAAAGGAGTTCTTTCTAAATCTTCCTTAAATTGAGATTTTACGAGAGATAACCCTTCTATTGCACTTAAAAATGAACATTTTGATATCTTTAGTATCACACATGGTCATATATAGTATTTCATCTACATGAATACATTCATCTTTCGAAGTCTCTCATTAAATGGGAGGCTTCGAAAGATGAATCGTTTTATTCATACAACTTTAAATCTCGAACACATTTAGAGAGTGAGTATATCATTTTATTCTTGTTTTGAGTTTATTCTGATTCAAAATTGCAGTGAAAACAGAAGTTCACACATCATATCTGAATGTGAGCTCATCTATACTTATACGATCTCAATACCTCCACTCTAAGCATAAGAGGTGAAGTTATATAAAAATTATCAGATGCGTTGAAGTCTCAAAAGTATTGCCTGAATGCTTGTTTCATATTTGTCCAAGTAGTTTCAATGAATAAATGTATTGTTTTTTATAATTTCGATTTATTTTTAGAAAATATTCAATATAAACCTTTATTGTGTTATTTACATCTCATAAATTCTCTGTCTAAATCATATAAAAGCGCGTTTTACCCCTATGAATCAAGAAATTCATTCAATATTCATGGTATATTTATTAAATTTATACGATTTACTAATAATCAATATTATATCCTCATAAATAGCAATATATTTTGGTAATCTATGATAATCATATACAATATTTGAAATCAAATTTTCATTAGTTTAGGTTCCTTGTTAATAGTAAACCATTATATTTATTACTAATAATAAAATCTATGTGTCGTATTGAAATTCAATAAAATTACTTATTCGGTCCAAAAAAACAAATTAGATAAAATTTTTCTTTTTTTATGTAATTTTTGTTTTTCATTTTTCTCAAGATCCTAAGTTATGTTCTAACTTTTGACATCATATCCTATCATGCTAGGCTATATATTATAGTAGAGATGTGAAAACTTAAATTTTATAATCCCTGGGATGCACTTTCTTCGATTTTTTTTAAATTTTTGGGATAAATTTTGACATCTTTTTTTTTGCTGGCGACCCCCCCCCGTTTAGGGCATCAAAAAAACATGTTGTTTCGTTTCAAGATCGGGATATGTTGTGAACCCGACTTCTTTCATTAATGAAGTGATTTCTTAAGTTGAATAAAAACAAATTTGATTGAAATTCATACAAAATTTCTTTTTATCATTATTATTTAAGATGCTTTTTTATGTTGAATTGTTAATTTTTTTATTTCCACCTGGGATATTTTGAATTGGGCTAGCCCAATCCCACCTCTCAATTTTCTCTCAATTGGGCAATGGGGATCCCATATAAAATGTATTGTAACAAAATTTTACATGCATAATATAGTACAATTAAACAACATTCTAAAAATATTAAATTCACATCATTTACTTGAAGATTTTATATTTTCAACAAAAATTAATACAATAATTACATTAAATTGAGGAGATTTATAATATTTATTATAAATTAAAATATTATTACTCATTAATTTGTTGAAATATTGCATTTTAGTGGTAAAAATTAAAATTTAAGTTTACATGGAGAAAAAAAAATTTTAAATTCCAAAAAAAAATTCAATTGGGATAACGATAGGGACAAAAATTTAGAATCCCCATATGCTTGGGATAAAATCACATGACTATATTATAGCATATCCAAAAGGCAAGGAAATCTATCAGAGAAGCCTTTTTGACCTATCGTTGCCCTACCTCTCTTTTCCCTTCAAAACAGAATTGAAATTTTTAGTCTCTACACTATTTCAATATAAGCTCCATTTTTAAACAGTTTTTAAAAATCGAGCATTGAAAAGTGTGATGAGACTTTTTTATTTATTTTTATGATCTTACTTCCTTTCTTCGCATATCTACTTCACGCTCATGGAAAGCACCCATGCGGTCACTCAATGCTTAAGCTAAAACCAATTCTCCCACCAATTTCCAATAAAACTCACAAGGTGGCCGCCGAAGATTATCCATTTAAACCAATCAGAATCCAAATTGACTATGGCTATATTGATGGGACCAAGAATGATCCATTGCGTTGCACAAGCGTCGGACAGGAAATTACATGGAATGGATTTACTTATATTTGCCTTCAATACGATGTTCTTAATGCCAGTACTCGAACAGCAATTCATGAAACATTAGACAATGTAAAAGCTTATGCAGAGAAGCTTTTAGGTGTCCAACAAACAGTAAACGAGTTCACATTAGTAAATATGGATGGTTCGCTTCCAATTGATGACACAGAAGTCATTAAAAACATTGATATGCATTTTACCGTATTTGTTCGTCCTTTCGGCGAGGGATCTGCTGTTCTTGCTGCCGCTGCGCCACTTAATGCTACAGAAGATTTCTACAGACCAATTCAAGGAGTAATATACATCAATGCTGTTCAGTTCGGAGAAGCATCTTCTAACTATGATTCATGGGACAATGGAAACTTTTATATATTATTCCACGAAATGACACATGCTTTTGGAATGACTCCTATACTTTATCGGCATTTTCATCCAGAAAACTCTAATATCCCATACGAAACCTATGGTTGCCAACTTACTAGAGATGGAAAACAATTTACTTACCTCACCACACCACAAGCACATATTTATGCTAAAAAGCACTTTGGCGAGGAATACTTCTACGGTGATAATGGCGAAAAGTGCCCTTCTGGAATAGAACTCGAAAATGGCCCTGGAGCTGGAACTGCAATGTCACATCCAGAGGCAAGAGTTTATCTTAGTGATTACATGGTTGGCGAAACAATCCAAACTGGTCCATTCCCATTCAACAGAGTCACAGATGTCTCAATGTCCTTCTTAATTGATTCAGGAAACTACCATATTAACTATTCTATGATACAACCAATTCTTTGGGGCAACGGTGAATCAATTGATGGCAATCCAATCAAAGGATTTGCAACAGAACCACCAGTTTACTCCTTCCCATCATATTATTTGTACAATGATACATATGGTAGTTTATCAGGATTCGATTTCAAGTTCTTTGGTAGAGCAGCTGCAACCAAAAGAGTTTCTTGTCCACCAAGCAAAGAAAGATTTGCTGAATATTGCAATGGAATCGAATTTTATAATCCAACAAATTCTCGTATTATTGGATATGATTATATTTATGATTACGTTCCTACCGTCTTCCCAACTTATGTCTGTCCAAAAGGAACAGCTATATTACCAGATATGTTATCATGTGGCAGTTTCACATGCAACAAAGACTTTACTGAATTCACAATAGATGCAGTTCCAAAAGATGATGAAAACGAACGTCAAACTCTCACTTGCAAAGAAGGCGATGAAAATAAGTCTACTACATTTAATATCAAGTATAAAGGTCAATTACATAATGTTAAAATGGGTTGTATCAGTCCAAACAGATTCTGCAGATCAACAACAATGCATGATATGACATTTACCACTGACCCATTTGATGAAAATACTGATTTGGGATTACCAAACTCTCAAAAACAGAATAGCTCTTTTCCAAAGTGGGCCATCGCTGTTATTGTAATAGTTGTTATTCTTCTTATTATTGTTATAATAGGAGCAGTTTGGTATGTCCTTCGTAGTAGAAGAAATACTGATTTGATAGCTCCTTAAAGATTTTGCGTATCATGGTATTTTATTAAAAAGACCATTTTAACCTTTAACTAAGAATATTTATTTTGATCCATGAAAATACAGTTTACCAAGTCTTTTTCAAAATGCTTACGAAAATTTTTGAAAAACAAATTAAAAAAAGTATTGCACCGCCCGGGAATCGAACCCGGACCCCCACCTTGGCAAGGTGAAATTCTACCATTAGACCAGCGGTGCTTTACAATATTATTATTTATTATTAAGACTAAGTATAATAATATAATTTTTAATCATTTCATAAAATAGATATTTATGAAGATTTATAAAAAAACTTGTAATAGACAGTCCAATTTACAAACAAAACAATCAATAATATTATACGCAAGTTGCAATATGAGCAACATGATCGGCAAGTGTTGGTTCATTCATAAACAACAGCTTGAAAGGAATTGATGGTGAGAAAACCTTAGCATCTGCAGTGTAAAGTTTTTGAAGTGTTGCCATTATCTGAAATCCCATTGTAACAGCTGCGCAATCGTGAGATAGAGTTAATATTCTTGCAATTGCATTAGAGAAGATACGGAAAAATGAATCAATGGTAATAAAAATACAGAAAGAAATGAATAAAACAACAGTATGAACTGGAGTTGATCTGTAGATGAATTCCTCGAATCCTAATCTTAGTACTCCAAAGAGTATAATGCAAAATGCGATGTATCTTGATATATCTACAAGGAATAAAATAATTTTATCATAACTTTCAACAAGAGAGTGAATTATTGGGCCAAGATATAAGGATTCCAATGTCTGTATATAGAAGAAGTTGTTAACTGAAAAGATAACCTTTGGATGTATTAATCCTGATAATTTTATTTCAGAATGCAAAGTTGACTTAGAAAATGAGTATCTGACACGTTTCTTGAATAAATCAACATTATTAGCTGACAAATAATGTATTGATTCGTTAAAAGGATGAAAAGGTTCTGCTACAACATTTCGATAATTTGGATTGTATTGATCTGAGAATCCGCTGCGCAAAATATGTAATGCAATAAGAGCTATAAGTAATGTAAGTGGCATATGAAGTTTATCTCCTGAACAATCACTATTTTGGATAACTGCACCCTCAGAAGCCAAATTTACGTCTGCTAAATTCTCAGGACCGGATAGATCATAGTTAACATCGACTTCTTCATTCACAGATTCTGAGAAAAATTTACCATTTCCTTTTCTTCCGTTTGTAATATCAGTAAACAATGTAAATATATGAACAAGTATTGCTAGTATTATTGCATCAACGGAGCAGACAATAGTGAAGTCAATGAAGAACTCTCTCTTTGAATAAACGTTAAATTTGAAAATAGTTTCTGTGTGAAAGATTCGATAGTATTCTGAAAACAATTGAGGGATAACTCTAATAATGAAAAATGCGTATATTCCGAATTTCAAGTTAGTGTTGAAGAATTTTGATAATGGTTTGAACAAGAAAATTGTCATGAATGGTAAGAAATATTTGAGTGATGCATATATAAATCTGTAGTTAAGCAATGCATAGTTGTATTGGATTGATCTGATATCTGTACGCTTCGGATCTTTAAATTGAGAACTTTCTAGATGTTTGCGCTCGTAATAGAGAACATAGGTCTCCATAGCGCATCCTATGAGAGTTATGATAAGGCAAAGTGATTTCAGTCGAACACTAATCATCAATTTTTAATTAACCAATATTAAGGTTAATGATTTTGCATCGTTTCTAATAGATAACACCATCTATTTCTCGAATAAACTATAATTCTCATAGAAAGTGCTTAATGCACTACTTGTTCATGCATAATTAACTGATATAACATAATATCAAATAAGAAAACAAATTCGATATTGTATGATCATAAAATATCTGCATAGATGGGGTCAATTTGGTACCAAATTTAAGGAATGAAACACTAAAAGTACTTAGAAATTATTAGTTTTTAAAATTTTAAACATAAGAAAAAATAAAAAAATAAAAAAAGTTAATATTCGAATTCACATTTCTCTGTAACAGGATCTCTCTTTCCTTCGTAACTCTTTGTATCGATATCAGGGAGTCCGAAGTATTGCAAGAAGAGATTTCTGTATTTTCCAAGTTCTGCGTACTGTGTGAAATGGGATGCAGATTCCAAGTATTCGATTGCTCTGTGATAAACTTTAATAAGTTTCTGAAGGGAAATCAACACTTTCTTAGCGAGTTCTACTGTTATCTCCTTGTTCTTCTCATTTCCTTTCTCAATAGCTAACTTGAGCAAGCAGAAAAGAGAAGCGTCAGGACCAATTGCAGCTTTAATCAAATCAACAACTCTCTTCAAATCTCCTTCGATGTTTTGTTTCGTTTTTCCGAAAACAGAATCAACGTTTCTTGTTGGGAAACACTTCTCAAACTCTTCTGCAGTTCTATTCAACAAGTTGCAGATTCTTTCTGTCTCAAATTCCGCATGTTTTTGCAACGAAATTTTGACAGTTTGAGACTCAGAAATTTTAGAACTTGGAGTGAATCTCGGCAAAGCATGTTCAACTGTGTATTGTGTCATTGAGATCTCATCGGCATCAGAATTCGTCAAATCCTGTAATCTAGAGAACGGAACTTTTGTTCTGAACTTCTTCCACGCGTGTCTAAATTCCAAATGATCAATGGCTTGTTCAGAAGGATAAACTCTGTTTTCAAGTGGAATATCACATCCGAAATCATTACAGAAGATATGGCCATTGAAAACAGAGAATATGTACGGAATGTCGTACATCAATGTTTCAGTTATTGAAATATTTTTCAATAGGTCTGAAATTTGAGTACAAGTTTGAGAGACCTCATTGAAATGTTTTGAAGAGGCGAAAATTCTCAATTGAATTGATTTGAGGCATCTCAGTGTATAATTCGCGTGCACTTTCATTCCGTATTCTATTGCCTCATCCAAAGCTGATTTGAACAAATCTATTGTGAAATCTCCAGCCAAAAACTTGAAAGCGTCAGAAACAGTTCCGAAATCGATTTTTGTTTCGACTAAAACACTTTGTATGAATTCGAAATCTCTATCAGAGAACTGTACATCTCTTCCAAGTGTTGCCTTAGACATAGTTATTGGCTGTGTCACTAATAAATTGTATTCAACAGGTAATTTCACTTTTAATTTCTCTTCATCGACTTTTTCGTTTTCTTCCGGTTTCATCTTTCTCTCGTGTTCAATAACAGTGGCAATCAATGCGCACTTGTGGAGTTGAGCAACAAAGGCCGCTGAATAATTGTTGTTGGTCTTGTTGATGTTGACAATTTCTGACAGCCATTTTAATCTCATTGATGGATACGTCATGTACTGATTGGCAATTTGCATGACATACTCACATGATGCGGAAGGATCGTGTGCGGTCTTTCGCATGTTGGAAATAACGTCGGCGATTTTCTGTGCGGAATCAATTTTCTCATGAAGTTTTTGAACAAAAACTTGGTCGTTGAAAATTGTTGACATTTCACTGACGCGTGTGAGCATGAGCTGATAGAGAGGGATGGACTCCGGTGGCTGGTTAAGCATGAGGGAGGTAAGAACATCTAAGACTTCGGCCGAGGAAATGGTTGTCGTGTGTCTTGTGTCGTAATCTGATTTGAAGAAGAACAAAATGGTGGATGCGGCAAAACAACGGGCAATATGGGACTTCATGGTGATCATTGATAGTAATTCGGTGGCAATGATCCTCTGCCTTGGGTAGATTTCGGTCAATTTTGTTATGGCTCTAAATAATCTTGGATAATTACGAGGAACTTGGTGCGGAGTTGTTGCAAGAAGGCAGATAAGTTGACAGACAGGGGTGATGCACTCCGAAAACTCTCGGATATTAGTGGCAATGAACATAATGATTCTCTTCGTTAATTCATTGAGCTGGGAGTTGAAAATCGTGATCTCTGGATTCAGTTGAGTGATACAAGACTTAGTAACTGTTGTAATGAAAACAATAATTCTCGACCTGAAAGTTGCATTAACTGTTTTGAAGAAGATTTTCATCAATCCGCGCGGAATGTATGTCAGCAAGAACATTACAGTCGGAACAATGAGGTGGCGGTCTTCCTCTGTAAATGCAGTTTCATATGCAACGGTTAAGAGGTCGAAAAGTGGGAAAAGAGCAAAGCCAACAATATATCTGTCTTTCTCTGGAATTGTTTCAATGGCTAATGTTAATCTGGCAATGAAATTAACAGCTAATGAAATTAATTCCGGATTTTGCATGCCGAAAGCCTCCGAAATGCAAAGGAATATTAATGATAATGTCGGTTGGAATGGAGACATCAAGTTTTGGGACAATGGTTTCACAGGAAGTCTCGTAGAATAGTATCTGATAAAATCTGTGGTCTGAGTGAGTGGAATAAGGAACTCAAAAACCGCCATCATTGCTGCATCGCTGTTTTTGATGGACAACATATTACGGATATGGGTATTTATGATGTTTGTCATGATTTTCGCTTCTAAAAGGGAGCAAAAGTGGAAAACAAGCCATCCATATTTAAGATTGTAATCAGTTAGCTTGATTTTATAATTATTTTTGATGAATTTTGTTGCAATTGTGGAAAACTTCTGCAAACAAGAGATAAGAGTTTGCGGGATCCATGTTTCTGTCCTTTGGCTGAATGAAACAACAAGAATTGATCCGATAATATCGAAAATTTCAACAATATTCTTGCAAACGTCTATATTCTTATCGATATTCTCTTGGATAACTTGGTCAAGTGAATTGGTAAATGTTGAAAGCAAGTTGTGCTTAACAGAAGCCAAGTTGAAGTTATTATAAAGATATGATCGAATAAGATCGCGAGTTACTAGGTCATCCTTGAACATTGAGAGTAGTTCTATGATGTATGCCATTGTTTGAGGGTTAATAAGCTGTAAAAGCTTAATAAATGTTGGTAATATTTGTTTGTTCAAAAGAGAAGGCGGAGTTTTGATGATTGAATCCCAGTTTACCTGCATAGGGACTTGTGCTTCCGAAAGAACAACAAACTGGATCGGCGGATAGATCGCTGGTGGCAAATCAACAACACATTGAAGATTTGAATGGGAAACGATCTTGTTTTGAGAGATATAATCGCCTTGGAATTTTTTGGCTTGAACCGTCGGATACGTTTGGAGCTTGTATTCAAGGGGTTCTTTAGAATTGAATAATTCAATAAAAGCGCATTTATAAACTATAGGTTCCTTTTCAGCTGTTAGCATCACGAACTGGATTACGAAGTGCGATGTTTGCGCAAGTTGCTTCGTTACGAAGAATCTGACGATATCTGGGAAAACAACCTTTTTTCCTGGTTGCATGTAGCAAGACTGGTACACATTGGAAAATGTAGCATCGTTATCGTTAAGAAACCCTGTAGTTCCGACGGGATTTGTCATATCAGTTGTATTTTCGCATAAAAATACTCTGAAATAGACCAAAAATGCTTTTGGAACGTTGTTAAACTGGAAAGAAATGTTGGATATCGTAATTATTGGCTCTTTGCTAAAAACTAAAGATTGGCAAGGAGAAACTAAGTATGGGAGTGATTTATTGAATTGTTCTAGGGTACTTAGTGGTTCAAGGCTATCGAATGGGACTTCTTTAATGATCGCTTTGCTAATTAAACTTATCATCGGATCATTAGGTGGAATTGGCGTTGCAACCTTAGCAAGAGTATCACTTTCAGTAATAAGAGTCCATGAGAAGTTGAAATTGTTTTCTGCAATCATTGTAAATGGACATAAAATCGAAAATGCAAATGGAACAGGAATAACGTGCTTATCAAGACGTTGCTGGTTTGCCGGGCATACATTACTGAGAAATGTTCCAGGTTTGCCAGTATCTGGATGTAATAATACGCAAACTAAGACAATGTGCTTTTCGGATCTCGGAATCTTAAAATAAACTGATCCTGTATCTGTCTTATTGAATATAATTTTATTGTTAATGGATTTGAAGCAAGCAGACTCTGAAACCGGCATTCTTGTTGTTGTATTAAACATATAAAGAATTCCTGAGTAATTCGTTAATGGCGTTGAAGATCCTTGCACTTGTATAGGCAATAAAGATAATTTGAAATAGCGATAGACAAAGTTATTATAAGTTTCTGGAATTTCAACTTTTGGAAGAGGTTCTGGACGATAATCAGTTACAGAATAGACATTGCTAACATCAAAAAGAATATTACTATTAAACTCTTCTTTCTTTAATTCAACGAATTTCTCGATATAAGATTTTTCGATTTTATTTTTCAAAGTTGAAGTATCTTCATCCGATAGGTTGAATTCGTTGTTGTATTGTACGATTAAAGGAGGAGGGAGATCTTCCACTTTATTAAAAACGTATTTGTGATCTGGGGATTTTAGAATAGGAACAGACCAATTTTGTAAGTTTTTATAAAGGTCTGTGTTATAATCAACATCTTCGCTTACATTTTTTGGCTCCTTAGACAGTAGAGTCCGAGGAATTATGAATTCCTCTTTCGACATATTGAAATGAAATTTTTTATATAATTTATTGGTGTGAAGCGCCGATATATATTAAAACTATAAGGATGACTAATATACTTTATAAATGCTTCTGTACTATCTGATTGACACAAATCGGAAGTCAAATAGTTCATTGTACGGTTTTTTTGTAGCAATAATAAATGTATGATTCATAATTTTATGATTCGATTTGAATTCAAAAAATTCATTTTCATATTTATGGGATTCTTAATAATAATGTACACTCGTGTAAATGATTTGCAGATGACCTTTTTTGTGAGTGGAATCACATCTGTCAGATATTGCATTATCAAGGCTTCACTAACATGACAAAAATTTAAGTCCCTTGAGATATATATTCTATGATGTACATCATTATTTTTCATTTTTATTGACCCACCTAAAAAATGCCTTCTTCCACTAAAACATGAGTTTTAACGTGCTTTTTCCCAAAATGATAAACTAGTATTTATAAGTATTGTAGAGCATATTTTTCATCTTTTTAAAATTTTTATCCTTAACGATAACAAGCATGTCATGAAGCTTTTTGTCAGAATGAAATAAATAAAGTTTAATGATCTGTAGCGTGGATGTATATACTTGCAACAATTCTTTAGGTAAAAAAATCAAATTTGATATAATATAATTTCGGGCTTCAGTTGGCTAGGCTTGCCCTTCGGGCAAGCCCAGCCAACTTCAGCAAAATAAATATATTATGATTATAGGAAATGAGTTTATACAATGAAATTTTAATTTGAGTGATTAATATTATATTTCAAAGATTATTATGTAAAACATATGAGAGATTTTTATATCCATCGAAGTGGTTTAGAGAATACTTTGAGATTTTAGAGATTTTTCGAAAGAAATATTGAAAGCAAAGCATTTATTAAGAATTTGTTGTGAAATGAATACACTTCGATGAGATATTACATCAGTTTGTTACTTTGCAAAATTAGAGCTGAAGTCATGTTCAAAAATGAAGAAAATGTCTTAGCTATAGCAAACGGGTGTAATGTATTTGAAATATTAATAGCCTTATTGTAATCTGATATCTATGCGATCATAGATATTTTTTGAGAAAGTATTTCGGAAATTATGTAATTTGTAAGGATATTGAGGAGCTCTAAAGTTAAAGATTAATTAGGCATGTGATGACAAAGAACTTGTTATAGAGGAAAATCTAGAATTTTAGAATTTTCAAAAATCATCTGTAACCAAATGGGCATGTTGTGAATCATTTAAGGTATGATGGAACACCAATGAGGCATTAGATCAATGTGATACATTAGAAGTTTGTGCGGAAAGTCTGGTTAAGAAAAGATGAAAATGTGAAATGAAAATACAATATTTCGCTCAATTTTTCAAAAACTCTTTGCCTATCGTTTAGGAAGCGGCGCCTCACGCCGCTAATTATATTTTGAGAACAACTTTGGTTGTTTGTTCGGCAAACTTATTTCAACGAATTACGATTTGCAATCAGATGTAACATAATGATATCAGATTGATTTTGATTTTTGATAATAAAAAATTATTAAATAATTTGAAAAGTTATTTTGTTCGCTATTTGATTGGCGCTTTGCGCCAATCAAATAGCTCAGATTAATAATATGATATTATTTTAAATATGATGAAAATTTTTGAGTGAAAACATTCAAAACTAAGTCTTAAAAAATAGATATTTAAAAATGGTTTTTGATTGTTAAACTACTTGTGAAAAAATGTCGATTAATCTTCTATATATATATATATCATCTATCGGCGCGAAGCTGCGCTTGGCGCCGATAGATGAATGACAAGGCTGTCATGCACCAGTGTGTTATAACAGATCGATTTTATTTGAAATTTCATAAATTAATAATTATAATAAATTTGATATTCAGAGACGGCGCTACGCGCCTTTTAGCATTCTGGGCACTTACGTGCCCAGAATGCAAGCTTGAGAAATTTGAAACTTCGTTTCAAATTTCTGCCATGCTGTTATGCAAAAAGAAAGTCAGTACAAAAAAATTTTTGAAATTGAGAATAAAAATAATATCGTGATTTTTTGTGATATATGGATTTTTTAGAAGATCTTAGAGATTGAATTCTCAATTTATAAAAATTTTTTAAATTGAGAGGAATTTTAATGATATTATTTTATTTGATATTTGGATTTTTTAGATGATTTTAGAGATGTCAGTCTCAATTTAAAAAATTTACAAAAAATGATCGTAAAATAATTTTTGTTCAAATCCTTTTCATTTCGGGAAATTGAAGTTAAATATCAAAGAGATGGTCTATGCATATGTTAAATCAAATCATTAAAAAGTGTTTTGATGACTTTTTCTAACCGCAAATTGTCACTTTTTGATGTTTTAAAATTATTATATATCCTATATGCATATAAGATACAAATTAATATTAAAACTCCAAAATCGATTTTTGAGGGAATCAAATTTATCACATCTCATCGTTGTTCCGAATTAATATTTTATTTGTAATGTACATATTATCACAATTATATTTATCATATTAAAATTCAAAAATAATTTTTGAGTTTCAGATCTCCCTAATTTCCCATATAAATATATGTTTATTTTATTAAAAATAGAATGTCCAATTATTGATAAAAATCGATCCGCTTTTCTACCGGTCAAGCTGTATATATATAGAACCCATCCATGTAAACCTCAATGTCACTTTTGCGGCCGAGCGGAGCGAGGCCGCAAAAGTGACATCGAGGTTTACATGATGGAAAATGCCACAGCCAATATTTTTACAAAACATGTCAAGTCCAGAACAGCCAGAAAATGAAAATAGATGTAATTACAGTGACCTTAAGCCAAATAAAGTATTCGAATACCCAGATCAAGCATCAAAAATGATTTGGGGCATCAATTCCAATAATATTTTGCGAATATCTTCACAAATTATCGAATTAATTACAACTCAAAAAAAAGGTAGTGGGGCTTCCAGGCGCGTTGCGCCCTCTAGCCCCGAAGATGTTTAGTATAAATGAAGTTTTTATTCGGAGGGCTTCCAGGCGCGTTGCGCCCTCTAGCCCCGAAGATGTTTAGTATAAATGAAGTTTTTATTCGGAAAATTGTTAGTCTTCTGGGTCGAAAACATTATATAATGTGTCACTTTTCACAAATTATATATGTTTTCATGTTTTGTCACTTTTCTATCACTTTTCGGGTAAAAACATTTTTATTATTATATATAAATGAATTTTACAAAACCACCGTTACCGTTCTTTGGAAATAAGAGTAGATGTAAAGATATTATATTGAGAGAACTTAAGAAACTACCGAATGGTCTAACATTTGTAGATTTGTTCGGTGGAAGTTTCTATATATCCCATTTGTGCCATACAATATTCCCAGACTCAAAGATTATATGCAATGACTTCGACAACTATATGGACCGTCTCAAACATATTCCAGACACAAACAATATATTGAAAGAGTTAAAAGAAAAGATACCTATAGGTAAGATGGAACGTATACCATTAGATAAGAAAAATATTGTGAGAGAGGTTTTGAAAAAAGCAGAATATATAGACTGGGATAGTATATCTGCTAGACTATTATATAGTGGTGCTATAAGAGTTCATGACATTGAAACACTTATGTCAAAAGTTTTATATCTTAACTATACAAATGTTTTCAAAGAGGACATAGAAAAATATATTGAGGGTATAGAGTTTGTGAGATGTCATTGGACAGAGTTGTATGAAAAATATAAAGACAAGGAAAATGTTTTCTTTATAGTGGACCCGCCGTTCTATAACACATGGGATTTTCAATACCAAGTAGACTGGACTTTGAGAGACTCTTTAGAAACTTTAGACGTTATACATAACCATCCATGCTTTTACTTTACATCCGATAAAAGTGGTTTGGAAACCGTTATGAGATGGTTAGAGGACATACATGACTATGAGTTTATATATATGACAAGATAGAATATGAGAGAGGTCCTATAAACCGGAGAAAGTGTCACAATAAAGAAATTTTATTAGTAAGTAAATGTGGTTTGAAATCAGATTGTTAGTTTTAGGTTTTTTCCATTGTGTCATTTATTTATTTGACGTGGCAGAAAAGTACAGAGAATATGAAGATGAACCAATGCCTGCAAATGTTCAGTATATGTACTCGTAAGAGATATTTTTATCTAATATTAAATGGACGCACAGAACTTAGCGAATGCACAGCAACCTGGACAACCAAACCCAGAGAATATTCCAAATGAAGTTAGAATACAAACTGCAATGGCAAACTATGGTCAAGTGCCAACAGATGTACAAATGCAAACTGCCATGTCAAATGACGCTGCGTTAGGTTTGCCACCATGGTATGCAAATATGAGATGGAAAGAGTTTTATACAAACCCTGAAGTGGGATATAAACAACTTTATGCAGATGACGCGAACACAGGAGTTGACCCAGAATATATTTTCTACCAGAGGAGAAACAGAATGTATGAGCTCCAGTTAAAGAATGCTATGGAACTCAACAGGAAACGTAAGAGACTAGGCGGACATTAGATTTTTACATATAGTAAAATGGGTTTCTTCAGTAGTATTGGAAACTTCTTCAGAAGAGTTGGAAGAGGTATATGGAATGGAATAAAATCTGTCGGAAGAGGAGTATGGAACGGTGTCAAAAATATTGGTAAAAGAGTAGGTCAGTTTGTTGGTATTATACCTAAAGACCCTGAACCAGAAGAACAAGCTCCTGTTATACAACAGCCTGAACCTGCACCACAGTCAAGTTGGCAACCAAATCCAACACCTCAACCGTATTAAAAAATTATATTTTTATCGTTCGATAGTAGTTGTATATGAAACTAAGTTCTAAGTAAAACGCATGGTATAATGGAATTATTCTTTTTCTTCCATCTGTAGTAAACCATACTTGAAAGTCTGAAATACTTCCACTTGGTGGTTCGTATAACTTTGTAGGTTTTTCGTAAAAGTCATTTGCCAAGTATAAGAAAGAGTTTTGGGCGCCAGA